AACTAAAGATCAAAAGAAGTGAAAAACAAATCAATTTTCCATCGCACAGGGACGTTCAAATTTTTAGCTGGAGATTGAAATCCATTTTGGCCTAATAAATGTTCGAATTGAAAAAGAGTTATTTCTAACAAAGTTGTAGCCGTTTGAGTTATCTTTCTAAAGTATTTTAAATCGGCTTTATCGGATATCGGAAACAAATGTTATGATAAAAGTACTCAAGCAGCCTCAGCTTAACAGCCGACTTTTTCGGCCGTTAACAGCCGAATTTTCAGCTTGTGCTGATTATTTTTTTCGTAACAGTTGTTTTATTTGTTAACTAAAAGGGTGGTATTGTCTTTTTAGCACAAATATATTTTGTAATTGTTTTGGTCACTTAAGGGCGTTTTTGTCTTTTTATAGCAAATTGGTCATTTCGAAAATATTGTTAAGTAAACAAAGTCAAAATTGAATTATGGGGCTTTGACTGGGTTATTTTTAAAAGAACCCCCCTGTTTCGACTTGTTCTTTGAAATTTTTTTTTTTTCAACCCCTATTTTAATTACACATTCTTTTAATAAAATTAATTATATATAAATTCAAAAAAAAAAAAATCTTACTTTTTATTCAAAATTTTCAAAAAAATCATTATTTCAAATCTATTTCTCCCAAAAAAAAAAAATTCAAACAAATCCATAGGGTTTTCTTTACTATCATCGTGAAAATGACATTTTCAAGTTTTCTTTAAATATTCTTATTTTTACTTGTCACTACTATATAAAAGAGCTACTCTGTTTTTCGCTGTTTATAAGTCGTATGGCCATTCAACGTCGAGTCAACCGAGCCATTTGAAAGTGTGCTGTGGTTTCAGAACATTCACTCAATGCCTTCCATGACTTCATTTTTTTCATTCAAACACCACCTCCACTGCAATATTTTTCCATTTTCACTCGCAACGCATTATTTCTCAAATTTCACACGCAACGCAATATTTCTCCATTTTCACGCAACCATCACCTCCACTGAGTAGCAATGGCGGATCGAAATGGTAAATGGGCAGGAGAAGAGTTTGTACCCTACACTTATATTGTGCTCTCTATCGCGCTCTCCAGTGGCCGATGTAATGCCTCAAAATTTCATACATCTTGAGGTATTACCAAACATAATTTCATATACTTAAAATGCGGAACTGTAAAAT